CTGCTGACGCTGGGAGCTCCGGCCCCTCCGCGTCCCTCAGCCCCCGACCCACGGGCAGAAGAAGGCCCCTGAAGCCACCCAAGCCCCTCACCACACACCTGCTTAAGGATAAAGGAAAGCCCGCAGGCTTTGGGAAATGAAGTCACAGCGGCTGCACAGGGTTATCAGCAAGGAGATCCCACCACCAGCATCGCTTTGCTACGCAGAGGCTGCGATCCCCGTCCTCCGCTTACCTACTTTTCCATAAACCTTCACTGAACGTAGGGTCACCCTTCCCCAGGCAAATGAAAGCCAAGCAACAAAATACAAACCAAAATTTTATTGAATGAACAAAAGTCTAAAAGTCTCCCATTTTTGGTTAACAAAAGCAGCAGCCTACAAAACCCCTGCATTCCATGACAAATCTTTTTATGTCAGAAAAATGAATCCTTGAGGAGGTATAAACATTTGTAATTTCACAACTGCCGAGATGTGTATGGACAAACAACTGGATACATTTCAAACTGGGGGGGGGACGAGGACAGGATGCAAAAAGACCGCACACAGACACCAGAAAAAGCTTGAACTGTTTGCTGTCCGAGAGGTATATCATCAGGGCTGCCAGCAGTTTCCCGCACTTGCATCCCCTTCATACAACATGGAAAGAGCAGCAGAAAAACGGCAGAGGTTTTAAGACTGAACGAGGAAAAGAACTGCCAACAGAACGCGGCCTCCAGCTAGCTCACTTGGCTAATGGTAAATGCAGCTTTTTCAATGCTGAATTTCATGAGTCCGTGCTCTCCAGGGGCTCCCGGACAAGAATTCAGCCGCTGTACCCACCCAGCAGAAGCAGTAAAGACGGTCCCGGCCACAAACTTTCCCTGCCACAGGCGATTCCTCTCAGTCCAAAACAGGCACCCAGCTAAGGGAAAAGAAACTGAGACCTGCTCAACAAAGTATGATTATCTGACTGACAGAAATCTACCGGGAACTAAATGGAGAATGTACATTCACGCTGTAAATCTGACAAGGTTTTCTAACCTATGCGATTCTTCTCCTTTTCGCTGGGTATGGGCAGCCTGAATAAAACAGAGTGTTAAAAAGGAAGGCAATGTTTACTGTTATCCTTACACCATTTGCAGAATAACCCTTTTTTATAAAGTCATATCATAAATTTTCATGCTTTGGAATACCAAATATATTCAGTGAAGTCTGTTTGTGACATTGACTAATTTCAGCCTGCTCTTTTGTTTTCACATGTAAGGACATAGTACAATTATTTCAAAAGAAATGATTGATTCAGCTGTCATATTTACTTTTGATTGCAATATTACAATAATCTGTGCTTATCTGTCAGTTTATACATCAGATCTCATCCATTGCAACCATATCATATTTATTTAATAATTATGAAGCTGTATCTTATACCATAATTTCTATTCATATGTATTCTAGGACTAATAGATCCCTAATACGTCTTGATTAAAACTAACTTTTATATATTGACTCTATTACCTAAAGTTAATTTTAATCATTTCCATCATAATCATTGTAACTCTGATACCCACTGTTCCTCCTCTCACGAAGATCAGATTTCTTCCACATAGATTCCTGATGAAAGCCAGCACTGAAAGATCGACCCAGTCGTCCATGTTGTTTCTTAGAGATATTGTCTTCACTCTCAGACTTGGAAATTCCTTGTCCTTGTGTTTGGGATTGTTTATCCTGTCTAACGTTTCCAAACGGAAAATTCCAAGGACCAAATCTTTGCCAAGTAAGTCTCTGAAAGGCAATGATGCAATGAAGATTTCCTCCAACCTAATCAAAGTAAAAAAGGTTCTTTGTTAAATGGAAACAGGTGCATTTCTTACACACATAGATATTTCAAATGGACATCTTGGCAGGTAACAATTAAAAAAAACAAACAAACAAAAAAAAACCAACAACACACAAAAAAACCCACAAAACCATATCCACCAACAACCTGGTTCAATCATTTTGATTGTTTCCCAGATTCAATTACTGCCTTCTTTCTCATCTTCTTGAGTTATCCTTTTTATCTCTCCTGGGCTAGTATAACTTCTCTTCCACTAGTCTTTTTAACTTTCCAGCCACTTTCACACAAATTATCTGTTCTGGTGCCTTTGCATCTTGCTGACATGGTCTTCCATAGGGTCTCCACACTCCAAATCCTCTCTTCAGCCTATTATTTCTCACAGACCTTCAATCTGCCAATCAGAAACACATCCCCCACCCACGAGATATACCCCTGTCTGTAGGAAAGAAACCTATATGTATTAACAGTGCCCGCACAAGAGACACACACATGCATTCTTCTATGTTTGATGCTACTCAATTGCACTTTCTGTCCCGCTTACGCGTAGCTAGAAGGTCCTGCACCAAAAGGATCTGTCTGTAATGTCTGTAGAGTATCTCTACACTTGCTGCAGCCACATTTATTTTAAGCCAACAAGGTTAAATATTGTGACCAAATACATTGTAAATGCAAGTATCCTGCTTCATCCTAGCATATGCCGAGCTACTGCTGTATCGTATCTTGTCCTGCAAGTAAATATAAATGACTCTGCTATGTAAGTACCCGCATTTGACTTTTGCCTGCAGCAACATTTCATAACATATTTATTTTAGTGAAGTTATCTTACACTGCCAAAGCATGAGTAAGTTTGCGAAAAATCTACCATGAATCTCCTCCCATGTTAGCAAGTTTACCTTACCTTCTTTGTTTTTCGATGCTGCAATCCTCTCTCTAGGTGTCGAATATCTAGATATTCTGGATTTTGGGTGTTTAGGTCAGTGACAATATCTGCCCACCTACAGAATAAGATTATTATTACTCAGCTGACATTTATGAAACTCAGCACCACGAAGACTCATGTACACACACATGCGAATACAGATCTGCAGCTAAATAGTCTTACCAGTGATTTCAAGACAAACAAACGTGTAAAGATATAAAAGCCTCAGCATTAGAGACATCAAGCTAGACACAAAAGCATCACTTTTAATCAAAGCATTCAGTGATTATTCCTGCTCTTGGTAAACACCTTCCAAAATGAGCAAGAGCACCACGAGGCACTAGTTGCGCTGCTTACCCTTACCAATTCACCAGTTTGTGAAAGGAAGAAGCAAAGTGCAGTTCAGGCAAAGAGAAACATTAGATTTTACTTTATTTAATCCTCTCTTACCCTTTTATATTATTTTGTTCAGAGCCTTGGGTTTTTTGCCCACTAAGTCTGTTTTTACCAGACAGTTCTCACCGTAACTCACTCCTCCATTTTATTTAATTCCCATCTGTCATAAACTATCACTTCCATCATTGCCCATTGACTCAACTCTTCGGAGTTTCAGAGGTCCTTCTAGCCCAACTGAAACAAATACACCCATAGTCCAGACCTCTTGAAGCCTACACATCACCTTTTCATTTCTGTCAATGTCTAATTACCTGCTCCTCTCTAACACCACCCTCCAAGTTCAGAAAATCCAGTTCTACCCCAGCCTTTGCCCTCCTACCTTAAGCACAGAATTTTCTGCTAGCTCTCACTGGGACTGCAGCAGGAGGAATAACGTCTCCACAACCAAAAATAGTATTACAAAAGTTTGTATTCTATATTCAGAAACCTCTTCCTGTGCCATTTGTAGCTTACATATGACAGGACAAAATTCTGTCAGTGAGATGTATAGTACGCCATTCCTCAGCATAGCAACCACGTGCATAATGTGATTTTTATTTTGTTGCACTTAATCTCATTAGTCCAAAATATCCAGCTATTTACAGTTATTGACATAGTCACATCACTGACAAAACAAAATGGTATCTGGGGTTTAGGTAGTAGGTTAGATCTGTCTGGCTATGAAACCATCAGATAAGCACTTTGAAACAATTTTTCAAAATAATTAGAGAATAAAAAAGAGGAAGCAAAGAAGTTGTGTGATTTTTATTAGTATTGTTTTCTTTTCAATGCTTGTTTTCTAATGTATCACGAAAAATCACTCAATAATTAACTCGGCAGGTGGCAGAGAAGCTATTTGCTAAAACTTCCATTTTGGCCACAGAGTTGGTTTCTTGAGAAATATTACTCTTTTGCTCTGGTGTCTCACTTCAGAAATTAATATTAAGCATTATGAACTAGTATGTTAAGTAAAGCTGAGAAAGCTGTTCTATTGTATTCACAAATACAACTCAACGATGAAACTTCTACACAGCGCCCTCTAGCTCTCCGAGTCTGTACGGCTAGTTCAGACACCAGCTCCATATACGCCAGACCTCCTCACAGACGTATTGTTTTAATGCACAGATAATCTAACAACCCAGCAGAGCACAAGGTGTACCTGCACCCGAGCTAGGAGATCCCAGCAGCAGCGTAACAGCCTGTGCACACCCCGGACACAGCCTGTATATGTCCTCAACTGCAGCAGAAACTCCGCCGCAGTTCGTGCAGCCTGCAAGTCACAACTGGCACCATCACAGAGAGCCGAGGAGTCTTTTCTGCCTGACTAACATGGGCTGCATCACACTCACACAGGAGAAACAGGCTTTGGCTTTCAGCAGCCCACATGTGTCCTGCCACGAGATAAAAAATTGCAGAGCCAGCCTTGAAGTCAAAACATCAAGTTTCTCACTTAGAACACCTGTTTCTGTTAGAACTATAGTATATTCATTCAAAAAAACCTGTAAAGTTGCTTGGGGACCCTTAGCAGACAAATACAACCTGTTTTGAAAGAAAACACATTGTTTTAAATTCTTACCAAGTAACATACCTTTTGCAGTGTATTGTTGGATGTTTCCTGCTCGGCTCTCCAATTAAGATCCAATATTCTACTTCTTGCTGCAAGACACGACCTCTGTTCAATAGAAGATACAATCCTAGTAAGATTTATTGTGCATACTAAAAAGAAAAAGAGAGATTAACATTCTGTTGTTCTTTTCAGGATCTTCTAACAGTTAAAATTGTTTCCTCAGCCAAACTAATAAACAGCTCCTGCACTATATATCATGTTTGCAACTGCCTACTTTTTTATTTCACAAGGCCTGGAAGTAAGATAGAAGCTATTGCTTATTATTTGGAAAAAAGACAGATCTTCCTAAAAAACAGTGTTACCCGGATGAAGGGCAGTCTAGTGTAAGATCCAAACACAAATATACACATAACAATGGAAATAAGCCGTGGAAAGCCACACGGAAGTGGAACAAATGCTTTCCTCCCTATCTGTGATGCCTGAGAGAGTCACAAAAGCGCCCCTTCCACTATTTTTTGAGTTAGTACCCACCTGAGAGTTGTTACTAACAGCTGTAGGGTAACCTGTACAAAAACAAATGGTAACTTCAACCCCTTCCTCCGAAGGATTCAATACCACACATTAACAAACAAAACCCTCAACCAATATTCATTCAAGTTTGTGAGCATCTTTCAAGAAACTCAAAGCCTGCAGTAACCTTGTCATGGAAAATTTGTGACTGACATCAGGGCAGACCGAAGAGATGCAGAGGATTGTTCTGGGACTTCCTGTGTGGAATTATCCTGTGAAAAACTACTTCAGTTTCAACTGTAACAAAACCTCAGATTTTTCTGCCTAGGGAATTAGACAGCACAACGTATACCATCATTGTACAGATGGGAAACCAAGACACAGGATAGATTAATTGACTTACCTAAAGTCACACTGGAAGTCTGTGGTTGAACTGGGAACTGAACCCAGGTCTCCCGAGTCCAAATCCAGCAACCTAAGATCATACAGGAAGTCTGTGGGTGACCTAAGAACTGCCTCCTAAGCTCAGCCTAGAAACCTGCCTACTACCTACCCATTTCTTTTGGAACCTAAACATTTCTTAGCTTGATTTTTAAAGAAAATCCTTCCGTTGTAACCACACTACTACACCTAGAAACCTGCCTACTACCTACCCATTTCTTTTGGAACCTAAACATTTCTTAGCTTGATTTTTAAAGAAAATCCTTCCGTTGTAACCACACTACTACAAAAAAAAAAAAAAAAAAAAAAAAAGACAAAAAAGGTAAAGAAGAACCAGAACCTATTGACAGTGGTTCTGGAACCTAATTTTTCCCGATAACATACAAGAAGATATGAAGAGAACACGATGCTTTTCCGGTGTGACCTCCAGCCTAAATTAAGGCTATAAAAGCTCTTTGAACTCATTACTTCACGTTACATTGTTAGAAAAGATCTGGTTTTAGGAAGAAATTCTAATATTGACTTCAAAATAGTATCACTAGCAACTGAGAATCCATTTCAACCATGGGTAAAGTATTGAAATTTTTGCTCTCAGCCACTCCTAAACAATATAAATTCATACCAGATAACTAGATATAAGACATTTTAAGTTTCCACACACTGGACCGCATTATTTCTCAAACTGCATTTTTGGTCTAGTAAACAAATTTTTTTCACTTTGCTCTTCCAGTGCAGATTCTTAGTAACTGATCAGGTAAGCAAGCCATTAACCTTTTGGTAAATTTAAGCAGACTGATGTGTTGGACATCTGTTTGGGCCATATTCTCCAAACTCTCGCCCCCCACATGGCATGTCAGTGAATGCAGTCTTAGTAAAAAAACTTCTGTATTCTTTTGTTCATATACTAAAAGCTCTTATTAACCCCATGGTCACAGTCTCATAGTGGGAACAAATTAGATTCCAATGATTACACTTTATCACCTCCACACAATTACCTTTTTGAACTCTGAAAGCAGAGCTAGCATTCTCTACTCCTTGATGTGACTCTACGTCTTCAACACAGCCAAAGGTAGACTGCTTGGTAAGTGAAGCGCTTAAGACTGAAGCTCTCCTTACACCAGTGAACCTACTCTTTTCATTGTTTAGAGCTCCCCACTATGGGTATCTGGTAGTTTGGCCACAGATTGTCTTTTTATGCGCATGTTATTTAGGGAGAAAAATGGTATCAACTTGCAATACATTTTGCTGTATGTTTCATCCACTAAAACAAGCATAAACACAGTATCTTACCTGTATGCTTTGCTAGCTTTTACTGGGGTTGCTTCAAATCCAATTGGGCAAAAATAATGGTTTTGGCAATGGTAGATGTAGGCCATTGATTCATCCTTCAGTCCACGTGTCAGCTTTGCAAGGGCCCCTGCAGCTACAAAGAAAGATCAGGTTACAGGCCAGCGCGCTTTGGAACCTGCGCAACATATTCAGCAACAAAGACCTATTCGATAACACAGTCAGACTGCTTTTCAAATTAGAGGACATGACCTGACAGGCATGCACAAAATACAGTTTTGATTTCAAACTTCTTAGTATTTAATTTCCTGCCTGGTACAAAAAAAAAATCATCTGCCACAGTCTGTACTAGGGAAATGCAATATGAAGTCTGCATTGTATATAGACCAAAATCATATTAAAAAACTACTTGTTCTGAAAAAAACAAACGAACGAAAAGTATCTCTCCACCTAAGAAACACACTGCAACACAGTGCAGTCCCACTGCCCCAAGTCAGACGTAGCACACGTCAGTGATACTGCTGAAGCCCCTGAAAGCTTTCAGGCCTTTTTGTACCATGAGCTCCTTGCAGCTTCCTAGTCTCAGGAACACCTCCCACACGTGGGCATACAATATTTTGTAATGTGACTGCAGTGCTCAGTTTCAGGAAAAGACTAGAAAAGGCACTCAAACATGAAAGAATTCTCAAATGGGATACCATGAACATGAAAGAATTCTCAAATGGGATACCATGAACAAGAAGGGGATTCCCACGTTAACAATCTCCCCCAAAACTTTTCTGCGTGGTTTTACCTTTCTAAAGAACCTTCCAGTTAGAAGATAATTACCCAGCCTATAACAGAGGCTAATAAAATAAAAGTGTAATTTTTCTTTAGGTAGCACACTTAAAACTACACATAAAAATGCAGCTTCATAAGCTAATTGAGAAAAATCACCTAACTTTTAAAGACAGATGTTAGCTAAAGTCAGGGAGAACGGATGAGTTCACCAACATTAAAATTTAATTTTTAAAAGTACAAAACATTTCTCAAAGACATTAATACTTTTGTGCTCTATGTTCTAAACTTTTATACAACACAGACTTCTAAAACACCAAAATAAAAACCATGCTGCTACCCCAGCGTATTACAGCAAACACATCTTCAGGACAACATACAACTGGAAATGCAGTGCCCTCCTGGATACCTTAAAATTCCAGTTCTGACAGCAGAATATATAGCACAGAATATATTTTATCAAAGTACAAGTGAAAGTTTTAGAAAAAAAGAGAAAAAGCAAAACTGGAAAAATCAGCAACTTGGAGCTATTTGAGAGCTTATGTCAAAATATAAGCACTGCTTGCAGAATCTGTCCTGTCAAATGCTGCACACTGCATGATTTTCCAGTTTATATACTGTAAGTTCAATGCTTTAGGATTAGCTACGTACCAGTTTCTCCAGCTGTCTTGTTCTTCCCATGAGGTTTATACAGAACATATGAGCATCCCTTGATACGGAAGTGATCATTTATTTGCCTGAACCATCTGAAACAATAAGCTTAAAGATTGTAGTATCTAAAGAGTTATTAAAATGCAGTTTTCTTTTCTCCCACTTTTCCACTGCTTGACAGTTCAGAAAAAAACCCCTCAGTGTGCTACTAAGTACCTACCACACTAGTATACAGATTGTAGATGACCAGGGTACCATAACGCAAACAAAACATATCCTAGAGAGATAAATAAATACTCAAAAGCCTTTTTCTTTATTTAGCTTTTTCAGACCCAACACAGATCCGTAATAACCAAAGGGCTAGATTTGAAATGCTGGTCCCTTTGTGTTCAGTCCAGCCACCTCCAACTTCAAGTTACTCAGCCTTTAGAAAGACACTCAAATTCTGAAATGCCAAGCTTCAATTGTGATTTGTAAGCTGCACGAAGGGAATCTTCTAAGACACCAGAAGGCAGGACCCTTCAAGTGAGACTTTCTGCACATCTTGTTGGGCTTTCATCACATGAGCTTCACAATGCCCAAGTATTACAGGCGTCCCATATTGCAACTCCTCACAGCAGCACTAAGTGAGGACAGGTCTGCCAAGAAGATTCTGTCTCAGATATTTACTTTTCCGCATTAGAAGATCCAAATTCACACCTCCGAAGATAATACCTCAATCACAAAGCTATGATGCGGCTGGCTCTCCGCCCTCCTGTTTTCCAGTCTGCCAAGTACTTAGAAATAATTTGACGGGGCAGGAAAAAAAAACTGAGAAGGATAACTTTTCTGCAGCACTTAGGCACTCACAGGGGAAAAGGAAGAATTCCAAGTTTAACTTTTGGCGGTATAGACTGTTGACATAAATAGAGAATATTTTATCAGTTTGGTCTGTAAGGGTTGCTACACCCTGACATACTCCTAACGAGATACAAAATCCAGATCCAAGTCTCCTAAGGCAGAGGAGGAAGTTTTCATGACACTCTCCAATGATCTAGTCGGTATGTTACATTAAAGAACAGACTGCTGACACGTTTTCAAATCCAGCACCTACATTCTGTGCCAAATCACATATTCCACCTCCAAAAAAACACTACCCAGACCAAATGCAACTCATTAAACAGGCAAGAACTCTGCAAAATTTTTAAATCTCACTGAATGGGTAACCCACCAAAGCCCTGTCAAGATGTTCAATACCCAAACAAATGCCCCTGGCCCTGTTTAATCCTAAAATTCCTTATCAGTTTAATAAAACAAACAAATAAAAAAAAAAAACACACCAAGATTTTAGACCCAAGTAATCAAGATCAGGAAACAGCAGAGCAGAACTGAAACAGAATTTGAAAGCCCAAGTGTTCTACAACTCAAGTCCTATCTTTTCTTTTTTTTTTTTTTTCTCTTCTCCTGAACAGCTCCATTGCAGCAAGGGTGCAGCACTCACTGTCTCATTTTCCATTCTTTAATTAAATTTTACGTAAAGCTACTAGTATATCAATTGCCTTTTCAGGCTGTTTCAGCGACATCAACAAGCATTTAACACGCATTTTCAAAAGCAGGAAAATGAGGGTAAAGAAAAAATTTCCTAACCAGGAGACTGGATTCATTAGAGTATCACACAAAATTAAATAAACTGAACCAAAAATCAAACAGAATTTCATGTTCACCTGATCTGTGCAGCAACATCACACTATACAAGATGGCCAGTGCAAAAAACTGTTTGAAAAGTCTCTTTGAGCACTGTCAGAGTACCCAGGTATGCTTCATTATTCTAAAACTTAAGAAGACTAACTTGTGTCAGTCACTTTTTTTTCTTTAAATAAATGAACTACTACTTTCATGTATTAACAATTCAGTTGCATCAGAAGAACCAAACCTACCTCATTAAAGTTGTATTTCCAGTGAAGGGACCAAATCTAATCTCCTCAAATGGGGGCTGAAAGCCCAGTATATGCAAAGCTTCTTCTTGAGTAATAGGTGGTAAACTGGGCGGGGGGGAGGAAGAAAGTATTGTTTAATAAAGTCATTAGCAATGTATTTTAGACTGTCCAGAGGCAAAGCGATCATTTGCGACTCACCTTCCAGCTCCTAGTGTACTATATAAGAAATTCCAGCAGGACACTAAGGATGAAATTCCACAGGAAGTCTTGTACTGAGGTCGGCTAACACAATACCTAAACCAAACAAAAACCCAAACACATCAGTAAGCATTACAGATTTAGTTACAGGAGCAACCTGAACTGCTTTTCTGTGTGCCATGTTATATTCAATGTTTTTACTTTGCATGTATTAAAAAAAGAGTGCATTCTTTAAAAAAAAAAAAAGAAATGGAGTAAATATGTTAATCAATTTCTTTGTCAGACACTACTACCCTATTTCACACAAATGAGTCAAACTTCTAACAGCCCCATGGGACTTCTGCAGGAAAAAGTTATTCTGTACTAATACAACATACAGTTTCATCCAGTCTCTTCTAACACATGGAATTCTATTAAATTGCATCTCTACCAATTTACTAATGAATGTCATTCCAGGTCACAGACTTCCTAAGCCAGTTCTAGCTTCCTGAGGTCACAGATACACAGTTAAGAACCAGAAGAATTCATTAAACAAAGTGAATTTAGTGAACTATATTTATATGATATAGGTTGTATAGAACTGACAGATTCTGATCAAGTATTTCCCAGCCAAAAAGAAAAATCAAGAGTAAGACACATCAGTAGTACATTTAAGGTTACTTTTTGCCTGACCATGCTAATGAACTTGCATTTGTTTAGCAGTGAATCCCCACGTAAATAATTGTTTCCTTATTGAAAGAAAAAAATGTTTAGAAACAAAAATGTTTTTAGAATTTCAAGAGATGGGAAGAAAGCTGTCATTCTTTCCTTCTCGTAGAAAGTAGGAGATTTAGTGTATGTATGCTTAGCATATCCCTATTTCTGCCAAAAAAAAAAACAAAAGCATTAAGCATTATTAAGAAGTTTGAAATAAGATAACCAGCAACAGTGTTTACCAACAAACTATATGGGGATAATCTTAAACACAACTCATAAATACTACCATCTCCGGAGGTCCAACACTTTCCTCTCCTTCACATCTTCGAGAGCCGAACGCTGAGGACACTCCCTGTATTGTCTGCTTTTTTTGTCTAAGGATTTTTTCTTTGTCACTTGTTTCTTCATGTTACCTGCAAAACAGATTTCAGAAAAAAAAAAAAGTTTACCTTTTATATTTTTCCTCTTAAATATTTTTAATAACAGCATGCACCCCAAACAGAGACGCTGGTTGTGTCAGTAAGTGCAAACTGGGACTAAACATTAACTGAAGGAAAAAGCTCAGATGCATGATCAAGGTTTTCAACAGGTTTGTAAAGCCGCCATTACTTCCATAAACACATCCTGTTTTTCTGAACAGAATTAACAATGACCTGCCTGTTTAGAGAGCGCAGTCAATCTGATTATTCTAATGCATTAAATCAGACATCCCAGAAATAGACTCCGAGACCAACACAAATGTCCCATCTCCTGACATTAAATGTACAGAGAAATATAACAAAACACTTGTTTATCACAGCCAAGTTCTGTAACCAGCTACACTTTCTGATGAAAGCTTACAGGCAAATCCCGTGGGAATAGTATACACCCCCAAAGTCTTTTCCTTTTTGTAAGCCACTGAGACAGCAGAAAATGAAAGAGTTGAGCCACATGCTAGAGCAGGAACACTTCTGTCCTATTCCATCATATCCAAATGAAATATACCACTTAATATTTTAGCAAAACTTACTACCCTGTAAGATATAATAATTTGTTTCTTATTTTTAAAAGACAATACATGCACATGTGAAAAGGCAACGGCAATTTGCTAAACGTATTTAAGTTTTACTGAACCAGTTTCACACTAGTAGACAAAACAGCAATCTGACTGGCTAGCCAACCCATTAGGCAAAAAAAATCTACAGCCCGCTCTCCATAAACAGAGGGATCACGGGACAAAGAAAACCAAGCGTGTAGCAAGTCCACGATTCACAGTTGCCAGCCTGCGACTAGGCAAAGAAAGAACACAGGAGGCAGTAAAGAAGCCAGTTTTAAAGAACTGGGCTCCCTAACACTGTACACATACAGCAAATCAAAATATATACAATTTTGTTACAGAAGCCACCAGCTTTCCTAGATAACTATCATGATTTAACTTACTTCTTGTCATAAATAAACCACGTCTTTAATTTCAAAATATCTCTCTGAAGTACCTTTAAACATTTCTACAAGTGACAAACCTCTGCTCAACAGGTAAAAGTAATCACTGCACAATGCACCAAGTCCTACTGAAAGAAAGAAAAACACACCCTAAAAACCCAAGAAGGAACCTCCCCTCCAAAAAAAAAAAAACAAAAACAAACCAGTTAAGTAGAAGCCAGCCTTGTTTCAGAGCCACTTCCACAGGCAGCTACACTTGACTCTCACTACTCCTACCTTACTCTCTCCTTTCCCAATGAACAAGCTGTTTGAAATGACGCATAGCACCTCATCAAGAGATTACCTGTGCTGACCACCACCCTCCACCAACAAGATGTGAACATGACGCCTTTCCCTGTCACAACATCAAATCTCCACCTCCTCACCTGCTTTGTTCTTCAGGTTTGTGGTCACACCATTGAACTCCGATTTGTCGATTTCCCACGCCAGTGGGAGCTTTTCCAGGTCGCCAGGCAAGCCTCCCAAGTTCGCATCTTCACTGTAGATTATCTCTGAAGCACCAGTTTGAATGCCTAGTAAGCTAGGTGTGTTATTTCCAATGTTTAAAGCAGCACTGCCTGACAGACAGGCACTAACTGAAGCTCTTGGGCTTTTACAAATAGACGTTACTCTGTTTAAAAAAGCATAGTCTGAGCAGATGGTATAAAACTTCTCCCGTGTATGAGTCACAGGACATCCCCATGGGTAATGCCCATCTCCCCTAGATGCCAAGGACGCAGCAGAGGCGTCTGAAATGCAGTATGGCTTCACGGGATCGTGAAGAGAAGATTCCAGGGATTCTTTCCCAGGTTTGTTTTCAGTGTTTCCGTTATTTCCAGCACCATTCTCCTTTTCATCTTCTGAAATGTTAGGCATTGAACGATACTGAAAGAGTATGGTACAGTTAAGAACACTTTTTTCCTTTATGCTTTAACTACAATAGAGTTTGCATCATTGCTTCCATTGCTTCTGCAAAGTATCGATGAGGTACCTGAAAGAAGACGAGAAGTCAGTACATGTGTCTCAATAGACACAAAAATACACGGCGATTACCTTTGAACTCAGATCCAATACAAGCTGAAATACCCTTCAAGATACACAGTATACCACACGCAATTCCTGAGCGCCTTCAGAATTCCACAAACAGCACTTTTTATCATTCGCGAGGTGCCAACAGCATACACCACAGTGATACCAAGATGAGGACATCACGAGTAATCACACTTGTAAACCAGTACAGGAGTATAAAAAACAACCACAACAACAAAAAAAAAACCCCTTCTGATATTTACACGGTTGCGGTTGATCACTTCTATTTCTTTATAGCCACCATACCCTGCATACGTGGAACACAAATGTAGATTAATTAATCGGAGAGACAGCAACTTCAGGCCGCTCAGCTGTGAAGC